ACTCTAATATGCCGGATAATAATAATAATACTATTATAGACCTCTTCAGGTGAGATTGACGGTGGCCTATGAATATCATTACTGTTTATTACGGTATCCACCTACGGTGATAAGTGGCCGCCATTTTGGACGGCAAGATTCAATGGAGGATGAATGAAGAAAAGGCAAAACTGATTCTTTTCTTTGGCATGGAGCTTTTTCAAGCTACAAAAGCTGGTTGGAGGAAAGAATGGTCGCTGCTATGCATCTCCTAAAAGGGATTTGGTGCAATATGAAGCATATTCTTTATTACAGCTTGCTTTCTGCATTAGCCCATTCATACTCCATATAAAGTTGCCGTCCACGAAAATTATTTCAGAGTCAGCCAGGCCCAGTCACGCCCCTTGCCGTATATCATTCTTTGACGTAATTCATTCTCACTCAAAGAGGTCTATAGTCGAGATTATAGTAAAACACGTCCAATAAAACTTTCATGACTACAGAAATAAAAGGGGAAATTCACGTAATATTTTATTCTTAGCAATGTCTGCAAATACGTTACCATTGCTTCTTCTCTTCTTTTATGTGGTGAGAACCCCAGGGCCAGAGCTCCTACCTGAACTGTAGCATAGACGCAAGATATCCTCTTCGTTTCGTTGGATTCTTTCCGTGTCTCAACCAATGGGATGAAGTGGGAGACTGTGATAGGCTAACCCTCACTGCAGTGGAAAGAGCTATAGCAGAAATCAACCAAGACACCAACATATTGAGATGCTTTAAAATAGAAGTGCTCCCCATTACTGATCCAATTCAGGTAAAATTGCATATTGCAAGCTAATTGAGACAGCCATATTGATGTTCCTTATGATTATTATAGAACCCAACTGAAATAATTAAGTTTTTATATGAGAAGCACAACAATCTACCTATTCATGGTGTTATTGGACCTTACCATCCTGAAAGTGCTGAAATGTTTGCTTATATTTTTGGACATTATCTGAGTACATTACAGGTATTGAACAGTTATCAAAAAACCTAATTGTATACTTTTACACTTTAGATTTCTTATTCAGTGACTAGTGTACTACTTGATGACAATGAAAGATATCCTTATTTTCACACTACAATTCCAAATGATAAGTATTTTGGTGTTATTATAAGTAAGCTACTGGATCACTTCAGATGGGGGAGAGTGGCTATTATATCGACACTTGATGAAGAAAGTGAATTGGTAAGAATCATTCTCACGTTTTCATTTTAAATATTTGATACAATAGGCAATATCTAAAAAACTTAAGCTTGACAATAAGCGAGTTCATCTTTTCAATCCTTTTTTGAACTCTACTGAAAGTATTCTTAACTTTTCGAAGGTAATGTAATTATATGCAAGAGTAACCCTGATATGAATACAGTACCCATAAAACTGTTTTCCTGGATAATTCATTGTCAATATTTCCTCTACCAATCCTTAATATTCCTTGTGGGAGTGAATTACCCATGCATCTGTTGTGGTTTGGCCCATTCCATCATCAGTACTATGTAAATGTCCCCATACACTAGGCAATATGTTGCTTGCAACATTTGTGGTTACTTTGATCTTGTAAGCAACATGATGCCTAGTGTATGGTGTCCTTATGTTTATTTATACATAAAAGGAGGATGATTTTAGAATATTTCTTGCTATCATGGACCCAAGGACAGCAAGAAATTTAATTTGCCAGGTAGACATATATATTCTCGCTCCTATATTCAATTTATTGTCAGGCTTATCATGCTGGTCTTACTACTGCTAAATATGCATGGATATTGCATGGCATGACTAATCCTAATTGGTGGAGAGTAGAAGATGTAAATTCAACTGATTGTACTAACAATGAAATGAAGGAAGCCCTTGAATCAGCTCTGTTTGTTGACATGCAAACATCTACGCTGCCAAAGATGAACTATGTAAATTATGCATACGAATTTTAAGTCAAAGCAATGATTGCATGTGTTTAATTTGATACAGGAAGAAAGAAATGCTATATCAGGAATTTTAAACAACAATGGATCACTAACAGAGGCTGAGTTTTATTCTCTCTTACATTCAAAAGTATTCAATGCTTATGATGCTGCTAGAATACTTGCTCTAACGTGGAATGTGACCATTAATAATTATACCACAGAGGAATTACATAATCTTCTTAATCAATCCTGGAAGATTTCAAATTCAAATCAAAGTAAAACTCTAGTACAAAAACTCCAGCACAATTTATTCAATTTTGTCAGCCCATATAC